CTAGCTTGTGCTTTATAAATATTAACATTTCTGATTTTATGATAGAAGTCACTGAGTTAACAGTACTCTAATTTACCATTTTATTTTTCTCTGTCAACATAGAATGGGTAGCTCATAAAATTCAAGACCAAATTTTCTGGTGTTTCATATTTCTAAATTCAACTAGCAAAACCTATATAAAAATTACCTTTTATTTGGACAATGCTCTCATAGCCAATTAACCTTGACTCCTGCATGAACTAAGCGGCAAGAGGTCAGGATTCTGAAACAGGCTCCAGCCCTTTCCTTTTATGTAAGTCTATCTTCAGCATTTCTGGACTGCCTCGAATTTCTCAATATGCAACCCATCTGTCAAGAAGTAAGTTCCATATGGTGCATGCTTATTTATGAGTATGTGTTTAGATTTCAGAAGCTGGTAAACTCCTTGGCTTATATAAAATGCAAATGGTACTAAGGTGAAAAGTATGAATTTGGAATAGGTTACTTGGTTTTTACTCCTTTGAAAAGTCTAAAGACACTTTTTTTTTAAGAAATGAATTTTTTTCAGATATGAATGATTTTGTTGGTTTTTTTTCCATTCATTCATTGTTCCAAAATTTTCACCCTCTTCCTCCTACTCCAAATGACAAAAAAAAAGGAAAGTGGATAAAAAAAAAATATACACACAACGTACCTTCATTTCAATCAAAATAAGGTTGGTTATATATTTAAAATAATATATTTATTTTACACTGTAGGGTTCAATGAAATTAATATTTTGTTCAATAAGAAATAAAGCCCTAAATTATTAATTATTTGCCTGAAGGAAACTATTTGTTGTTGTTGTTATGTGCCATCAAGTTGCTTGTGACTCATAGTGACCCTATGTACAACAGCCGTAAACTCTGCTCTTGTCCTGTGCCAATCTCACTGTCTCGGACACTCCCAGCATGATTACCCCAGTCACCGAATCAATCCACCTCCTAGAGGGCCTTCCCCTTCTGCGCTGTCCCTCCACCCTCCCAAGCATGATGTCCTTCTCCAAGGACCAGTCTCTCTTTACAACATGACCAAAGTATGTCAGACGAAGCCTCAGAATCCTTGCCTCCAAGGAGCAGCCCGGTTTAACTCTCTCAAGGATGAATCTGTTTTCTTAGCAGTCCACGGTACGCTCAATACTCTTCTCCAGCACCACAGCTCAAAGGCATCAATTCTCCTTCTATCCTCCCTAGTCATTGTTCAACTCTCTGATGCATAACAAGTGATTGCAAAGACAATGGCCTGTATCAGATACACGTTAGTCTCCAGAGAGACACCATTGCTCTTTCAGTACTTTATAGAGAGGTCCCTAACAGCAGACTTTCCCATTGCAATACGTCTTTTATTTTCCTGGCTGCTGGTGCCAAGAGTGTTGATTGTGGAGCCAAGCAGAATAAAGGTGTGAATAATCTCAATCACTTCACCATCCATCCTGAAGCTACCAATTGGTCCAGTGGTGAGAATATTTGTCTTCTCGACATTGAGCCTCAATCCATATAGAAGGCTGCAGTCCCTGACCCTCTGCAGCAAGTGCTTCAGGTCCTCCTCAGTTTCAACAAGCAGGGTTGTGTCATCTGCATAACACAGATTATTGATAGATCTTCCACCAATCCTGACACCACACTTCTCCTCCAGAGCCCAGCCTACTGGATGATCTCTTCTGCATGAAAAGGTATGGAGACAGGACACATCCCTGGCGTACGCCCTTCCCAATTCTGAACCATGCAGTGTTTCGTTGCTCTGTTCTGATGACTGCCTCTCGGTCCAAGTATAGGTTTCGCATTAGCACGATCAAGTGTTCTGGGATCCCCATTCTTCTCAGAGTCAGCCACAGTTTGTTATGATCCACACAAACACCTTTGCATAATCAACGAAGCACAGATAGACATTCCTCCGGTACTCCCTGCTTTCAGCCGAGATCCATCTCACATTAGCTACAATATCCCTGGTACCATGACCCTTTCTAAACTCAGCCTGGACTTCTGGCAGTTCTCTGCTGATGTGCTGTTCCTATTTAGAGAATGTATTATTAGAGTGCTTTGGCAAGATAGGCATTAGTAAACAGCTGCAAAAGTGCAAACTGATTTTATCTTTACATAGAGCTCCAGTATTAGAATTACACAACTTTAAAGTACAGTTTCAGAGCTCTTGGTGTATGTAGTGAGCTTCACTCCTAAAATATAAGGCTGCAATGCTTTGCTGGATCGGATCCACCAGTTGCTTGGGAGAAAGATGAACAGGCTTCTCTAGTGCAGTTTATACCCTCAGAAAACCTACTGAAAAGTAAGCTATGAGTAGGTTCCACCACAAAAGCAGTTAGATGATTTTCTTTAAATAAAGCTATAGCTGTATTAAGTATAGAATTCTAGACAAACTTCAATACCTTTTACAAGACTGGATTTTAAAAATCTGTCTTTAAGTATCTTAAATAAGTACATATAATCAGGGTCTAAAATTTATATCCTACAAGATAAAAAGGCTTCTGGCAGAGGGAAAAAAGGCATTGGAACAACTTAAGGAGGCAAAGGCGTGTCAAGTGTTGTGCTGCTACCTGAAGAGTTTGTGGCTTGAATCTACCAGGTCCACTGGAGCAAGATAGGCAGTCTGTGCCCAGAAAGATTTACATCTAAAATGCAACAGAAAGTTGCCACAAATAAAATAGATTCTACAACAGTGGGTTTTGGAAACACCTGAAGCTTCCCACAACCCTTACGTCATGTCTCCATCATAAACTTTAGTTTTTTCATTTGATGAGACAATCAAAGATAAAGTTATAAATAAAAGCACCCTGGTAGATTATGAATTTGGATGTGGTTGAACTATATATGAACTTTTAGATTTGGAAAATTCATAAATAAAATACCAAAAAGAATATATCTCAAAATTTCTTTGTGACAATGTGAGTTAAATGTAGGAGATATAAGGTACTATATTTATTTTGTTGTTATGTGCCTTCGATAAAGAACTGACTCACAGCTGATCCTCCAGCAGGCTTTCAGAGAAGAGAAATTGCATGGGAGGAGATTATCCATCTTTCTCCTGTGGAGTGACTGGTGGAGTGCGATTCCTTACCACTATGCCCCCAGAGCTCTCCAGACTTACTTTAGAGACAGCTAAATTCCATGGTGAAGCAAAGCACAGAATGTGTACTAGTAACATTTTTTGCTTCAAGGTTTAATTATTTAGTATGGTCAAGTGATTCTTAGGTTGAGAAATCAAGGTATTGATCAGGTTCTCAGGAAGTAGCAAATTTTAAAAATATGCTTTTTAAAATTATTGACTAACAGTCATATTAATTTTTAATAAAATTTAATGACATTAAAGAAAGGCATGACAGCTTTATATGTATCAAAAAGGGTAGAGATTTTAGAAGAAAATGCAGAAAACACTTGCCTATAACTTTGGCGGTATATTGTTTAATATAGTGGGCACTAGCCAGCAAGCCTCTAAAATGTCACTAGTCTGAGTAAGAGATGCTATAACATATTACTGGAACTCAAAAGACCTGATTTTTTAAAAGTGGAATACTTCATTAATATTTTAATACTTATTATAAATTGAAATAATATTTTTAATACATTAGATTATATAAAATAATAAAATTAACTTCATCCATTTTCAAACACTTTAAAAATGTGCTTACTTGAGACCTAAAAACCTACATATATGGCTCACATTTACGGCATCAATTTATTTCTATTGATCAGCACTCCTCTAGAAATTGTCCATGAGATCTTCTCTTATAACTAATATCCAAGGAGAACAACACTTTTAATTTTGGAAGCAAAGGTTTATTATTGAACAAAAAGAGGCACTACTGTTCAAAAAATTAAGATGATGTCTTAGAATAAACAAAATACTCTTGTGTTTTATCTTCTGAAATGAAGATGATGATGTATTCCTAGACTTTAAAAGGAGCAGATCTACTGTGAGTTGTGCTGCTAACTTTGAAGGTGCACTTCTCTGAAGGTCAAACCCACCAATCGTTCTGCATGAGAAAGACGGGCTACTCTTCTGTGTGATTTAAAGCTTTGGAAAGTCAATAAAGGGTTAACTAGGAGTGAGCTTTGACATTAACAAAGTCAAATGAGACTTAAAAAGAGGTAATTTTGCGGTCATTATCTGCTTAAGCAAAACTCTTCTGCACTATAACAGGCTGTTGTTGTTGTTATGTGCCTTCGAGTCGTTTGCGACTCATAGCAACAGTCCTAAACCTTGCTCTATACTGTGCCAATCGCACTGCCTCTGACACCCCCATCCCGATTACCCCAGTCACTGAATCAATAGTCCTGTGTAAAACACTGGAATGACTTTTTGAAAGATAATTAACTTACCTGAATAAAAAGTAATTGAAAGACAAATGTAGCTTGGAGTAAATCTGTGGAGCCAGAAAAAGCCATAAAGCTTTCCAAGACTAAGTGGAAAGATGCATATGTTTAGCAATTACTCTTTAGCTGTTTCCTACCTTTATTTTATGTATTTAACACTTGCTTGTATAGTACTTAGTTGCTATGTACTGTACAGCTGGAACCAACCCATAGCTCACCCTACAGCGGGTTTTCAGAGGCAGTTAACTGCACCAGAGGAGACTGCCCATTCTTTCCCTACATCCTAAGTACTTTACTAATTAATTTTAATTACCTTAATCCTAATGACTCTATGAGGTGGACCTACTATATTCTCTATTTTAGACATTAGGAAAATTTTAACTGTAAAGAGGTTAAATAACCTGCTACAAGGCCAGGATTTGAATCTGGGAAGTCTAGCTCAAGAGTCTGTGATTTAAACCACTTCACTGACTCCCAGAGGTAATGCTCTATTTTATCATTGTACCCTTGTAACTGTATATTAAATCAGTTTAATATACAGTTTTTTGCATGTTCTGAGTTAAAGGTTTTGGTTAATTTACCTAATAAGAAAAAATGCTCACAAAGAGAAAATCTGAAAGAACCACTACAAACATGTTAATTTTGTATACTTACTGCCACATTGGTCTCTTGTTCTGATTCTGGCACATAAGGGTAATGGTTGTAGAACATATCATTCCGCACCATTTTTTTCCTCATCCTGCAAGGCCCCTCTGTCATCTCTAACATCCATTTGTCGAGGTGGGAGCCAATGGGAGGACCCCACAGTCCTCTTTCACGCAGTAGTTCATACTCGATTTGACACCACTCCTCTGTCACGTACTTTAGGGCATTTTGCTGACGCTAGAGATAAAGATTCCATTGGTTTTCAAGCAAAAGCAAGTGCAACAAAAAAAACATGAACAAGTAACTTAAAAATAAAATTTAGGTTTGGAAGTCAGTGTTTATGTTAACACTTAATCAAGATTCCTTATGTAAAGAACAATGGATTTATGGTCCAGGTAAACTCTGAGAATGAAGGAAAGATTCACAAGAAGGTGCTTAAGCAGTATGTAAATGACAGGCACACACATAAATTATAGGCAAAGACCTGAAGGAGCTTTCTACTCTGCCTCAGTCAAGTTAATAAAACAGATGAAGAAGTACTAAAGTGCTAAGTTCAGAGTACATTAATAAATAAAGAAAGAAATAAATATGGTATCTTAAAGAGAAATCCTCCAAACCAAAACCACAGGCTAGACCATGGATTTAAGAAGAACTAGGAAAAGAGATCATGAAATATGGCTAACATACTAGCAAACTTGCTAAGTCTCTTTAACCTCTTGCTAAATTGCTTAGATAAAAAACACAGATATGCGATTCTGATAAGAAATTTGACATCTGTATAAAATTTGATGGTAAACTATTTTCTACTGGCTAATGAGACAGTTCAAAATGAGCTCAATCATTTTACTTTGCTGGAATTTTATCACTAAATATAATTTCCTGCTGTCAAATTACATGATGTGGAATGCTTCAGCAGTAGGTGATTCTAAGTTATCTAATGATGCAAGCATGGTATGTAACTCTAAAATAAACATCTCTTTATACAATTAACCATGAAGATGACATACTAAATAATCATGAAGGTACATGATATTATAGCAGTACTACATGTTTCTGGTGAGAACAACACATGTATCATCTAAAGTTTTGTCCATAAAAATACTAGCAGTTAATTATTCAGAAATCTTAAATAGGTTTAAAATAAGTGCTCTGGAAAAAAATATCTACTGCTGCTGAGTGCAGTATAGAGTCCAGTACAAGTCCTAGGGACTCCAGGAGCAGCAGATCTGAACCTTGTCCTATCCTGTGTCATCCAGATCATCTCTGATAGACTTGAGCCCACAGTTACCGTGCCAGTCCATCTCGCTGAGGGTCATCTTCTCTTTCACTGACCCTCTACCCTCCCAAGCATGATGTCCTTTGCCAAGGAATAGTCTTTCCTAACTCAAGACAAGGTGCTGACTAATTAGAGATTCACCAAGGAGATCTCATTAAATTTACTTTTCACTTGTTGTTACTGTGTGTCACATAGTTGGAACTGACAAATCACTAAGCTACTACAATAAAAAAAGAACCTGGGAAGTTTTTAAGAATTTTAAGAATTTCCTAGAATTTGATACCTATTTCAACAATCTCTTTGTTAGGGTGAAAGTAGAGTCATTCTGGCATTCCTATTTTTATTAAATAGGTGCATATCATGTCAGCTGTCAATGTTAATAGATTCAACATTAACTGTGTTGTACAGTTTTCCTGTAAGAACTTAACATTTTTCTACCTTAAAGACAATGACCAAAGACAGGTAATTTAAAGGACAATTGAAAATCAATATCCAATGATGAGTGCAACTCAGCAACTTGCCCTTACAATGAAGAGGAAGATCCTGAGGGAAGCACAGTTATTTCTCCCATGGGAATGGAAACAAAGTCATCATTATGGTTGTGAATTCTTACCTCTTGATATTCCTTATACTGTGTGTCTACTAAGTCACGGACAACAGCAATATGTGTAAACATCCACTGAGAAATCTCCTAACATTGGAAAGAGAAAGAATCTTTAATATCTCGTGGGTTTAACAGAAAAATAAATAAGCTAGCTTTAACATTCATGTTCAAAAATTAAGTGTCCAAAATTCTGTGAAGAGTATACACTAAAGGAAAAAAAATAAAAGCCACAAGAGTGTGATTATAGAATGAATCTGATGGAGGCCTGGTGTGACGGACATGGGGCTGTACCACTTAATACATCCCTGAGGAAGGCTTGCTAGTCCAGTGTCCCGAAGAGCTGGCAGCCACTTGAGCGAGCGACGCAGCTTCAAGCTGCTGGATGCTTTACATTCAATAGTTGACTGACTAGCGGAATATGGAGACTCAGTGATGATGACACAACTAAAGTTCACTCTGACAGGCCACTTTAAGCACCAGAGTTCCATTCAGATCACAGGGACTGCATCTTGGCTTGACATTTCTCTGTGCTCAATTCAGTTTATTTCTTCCTTCAACAGGTACTGACTCTTAGGTTATTCTCTAAATAACACCCTACTCAGTAAACTTCACCTTAGTGTTTTTCCCCTTTTCCAATCTGTGACAACATGGGGTGATTGACATACACTGTGCAGATTCTTTTAACAGCTGCCAATTAGAACTGGGGATAGTGAAGAAGAATGATGAGGAAGAAAGTAATGCTGGCAGTAAATAAGTTTTTAAAAAAATCTATCATGGGTATTTATCATGAGAAAAATTACTGAAAAAAGCCAGTTTGTGTTGCTATTATTCCAAAATTTATATAATTAGCAGTAACAGTATTACTGGAAGTATCATTACAATATAGGAAAAACAGTGGGAAATTATCTATAGTTTGAACTTTTATCAGTAATTTGCAGTCATGTCCAGTTATGAAATGGACGAAAACACACGACACGTGACACAATTTAATCACAACATAAAAAGTATAGCCCTCATAATCTGGGTCTTTTTCTCCCAGAAAATACAGAAAAATTCCATTCGAAATGGTCTTCTTGTATATGGTAAGTGTATAACATATAATACTCCAACTAAAACCAGAAACATAAATGTTTATTATCCACAGTGAAAGGAAACATTGTACCTGGGTGGACAGACTGTGCTTATTCAGACCACTCTCCTTCCGGTTCCTTCTGGATCCTGTTAACTTGGAAAGACCAAAGCCGCTGCTGACACGGGACAACTTGGACTGCGTGGTGGGCACTAAAGCTTCTCCCCGACTTATGCATTTCTTTTCATGGGCTAAAAAGGGAGAATGAGATTATTTTACAGTCTCTCCATCTTCTGACTAGTTATATTTTTAATCCTTCCATATCATAGCCACAAAGTACAATTCTGTATTGATCAAAAGCAGCTTATAAAATAGAGCCAGGTATTTCTCTGTGCTATCACAAATTCACTTCTTGTTTAAGGTGTTCTTATTTAAGGTTGGCTGCTCAAGCACTGCGCTACCAGGTGAACTTACATTTGGTTGAAATGTGACAGCCATGGATAATATACAAATCTACTGTATCAGGTACCAAGGTCATTACAGTTCACAATCTCTTACATAAAACTTTTAGTGCTGCACACACTTCAGAATTCATGATGTTCTGGAGTTTAAAAAGGTGATATGGTACATACAGTGCATATTGTGTAACATCACCTGAGAGGCTAGGGTGATACATCATAACGTAACACATTTATATTTCAGCACCAAAATGATTTACACAAGATACATAAACTAGGTTAAATTTTGTTACCAAGTGAAATCTGGCACCAAATTGGTGACAAACCAACCTTTGCATTTTTCAGAGCTTTTAGATTTTAGCCATATGGATAATGAGCAGTGGACCCACTGCTAAAAAAGCATGACCATAGAAAAACTCTGAGTAAGGTATTATTTTCTAAACCCATAGATGACTGCTGTATAACACACCTTTGCATTCATAAAAGTCAAACTCAGCATAAAAATTCTGGAATGGAGTATGTCGTACTGATCTTCATTTCTATTTCTACCACATTATCATATTTTCCAACTCATAGGGACTCTTCAACTGGGTTTTCGAGGCTCTATTTAAAGGAAGAAACTGCCCATTCTTCTCCCATGAAGTGCCTGGTGTTCAAACTGCCAACCTTGTGTCGCTGGCCTGACATGTTATGCACCACACCACCAGACCTCTACAATCTTTTAGGGAATTTAAAATTTTGTGCCTAAAATGTCTTTCAGTCAGATCTTCTTACCCAAGTGATTCTGCCAGCACTTTAAACCAGCTTCTTCGATGAGTGGTTTTGCAACAGCTATGTCTACATGGCCCCTTTCATTCACAGGTAGAGTGACTTTGAAAAGTTCCTCCAAGGCTTGTTTCTTACTATGTATCAATTCTGTCCAAACTCTGTTGACAGCTTTGATGAGCAGCTGACGCCCTAGGGACAAAAGAAAGAAAGAAAAATCAAGCAAATGATCAAAAAACACAATGCAAAGTCAACTGTTAACCTGTTTATGTTTTACATCTATGAATTTTAACGCTAGCACCAACTAGTCAAAGCAACACTTCATACATTACCCACATTACAGAAAGGGATTATTCAGATAATAAGAAATGGACTAGCTCTCCTGGAAAACTTTTTAAAAAGTATTAAACTCATGAAAAAAGACTGTATTTTACAATATGAAAAATTTTATACATATTTATTTCATTACCGAACATCTTGTACTTAAGAACTCTCTGAACATTTAAAGAAAGTTCAAAATTAAGTTATTTCTTCTTGATTCTTTTGTATAAGGAAAAAATAAATCAATATACAAATACTTTAAAAAAGTAAATTTCATTTTGCTTTCAGAATCCCTGATAATTTGTCTAACTACTGCTCTGTATCAGTCAAATGTTAGCAAGAGATGGACTCAGCAGTAAGGCACGGTGAAACAGACAGCTAGTCTTCACTTACAGAACTTCTCATTCAGTATATCCGAATAGGACCAACAAATATGCATTTCTAATTATATGACATTGTTAGTCTGAAAATACTACCGTAAGAACCAATGCTCAACACTGTCAGCTAATCAGGAGTGAAAATAATCACTGCATCCTCAGTATCTGGGGTTCAAAATTATGAGGGAAAGAATTAAAAATACATTCATTTAAAATGAATGAATGGATGTCAAAGTGATAGAATTCCAAAGGATGAAATTATATGCAAGTCTTACAAAGCTTTGTAATGTAGCGGGACTAATCTTTTCCACAGAGCTATGTGGAAATAGAACTCAATCTACTCAAATCCTTTAATCCTCAAGATTTACAGATTCAGTGGGAAAATTAGATTGAAAAGAAAAAAAAGCATTAAAAGACAACTTGCCTTAAGTAATATTTGCCTTTAGTCTGATATATCTAACACTAGCACTAACCAGTTCTTTCTCTTAAGTGTTAATTAGTATGTACTGTTTAGCTAGAACCAAATGTAGAAATGCATATATAAAATCTCAGCATTGAAACCTCTGAGGGCCAAAATAACAATGAGATATCATCTCACCTCAGTAAGAACAGCAAAATTTAACAGGATAGCAAGCAACAAATGCTGGCAAGGTTGTGGAGAAACTGGACCTCTTATTCACTGTTGGTGGGAGTGTAAAATGGTTTAACCACTGTGGAAGGCAGTGTGGCATTTTCTCAGAAAGTTGCAAATAGAGATACCATTTGACTCAGGAATTCCACTATTGGGAATATACCCCAAAGAGTCCATAACTGCCACCCAAGCAGATATATGCACACCTGTGTTTATCGCGGATTTGTTCACAACAGCAAGGAGTTGCAAACAACCTAAGTGCCCATCAACAAATGAATGGATAGAGAAGCTGTGGTATATTCAGACAATGAAATACTATGCTACATTAAAAAACAAGGAACTCTTGAAATATTATTCAAAATGGGTGACCTGGGATGACATTATGCTGAGTGAAATATCTAAGTCACAAAAGGACAAATACTGCATAGTGCCACTGTCTTAAAACAGGACTGATATCGGGGTTGGGGGGAGACCGAGAAAGATGGGATAAATAATGTATACTGCACTGAAACAGGTGAGGGAGAAAACTATTTAAAAGGGATATGTGATTAGGTATTATTGTCATGATAGGAGTCCAGAGTGAAAGCTGCATAGTGGAGTAGACCTGGGGGGGAGGGATTGTAAAACAATGAAAGAATTTTTCTTTTACTTTTCAAAGAAAAGAGTGTGGGGGGGTGGAGAGGTGGGCAGGGAGAAATCTGCAACAGTGAATAAATGGAAATCCAAAGTCTCTGTAAATTTTCATTAAAATTAATAATCTAAAAAAAACTCAAAAAACAAAACAAAACAAAATGTTGAAGGCTAGCTCTTTCAGAGGTGAATGGTAAAACAATTTCCAGATACAGGAGATATTTTGTGGGCATGTCTGTGTATGCAGAGATGTGCTTTACTGAAAGAGTAGTTCTCAACATTAGAAATCTGACGCCAATTAATATTAGCTTTTAAACCCTAAAAATTAGGAACAGTGAAATAAAAGCACCACATAAACTAAAAAGGAATGCAATTACCTTCACTAATATCTTGGGTGTACCCACCATCTGGTTCAATGTCAGAGGGAATCATAATGTGCCATGTAGTCATGCGGGCTTCTGCTTCCAGTCCAAATCCATCCACATTGCTGAAAAATTCCAATCAGTTTAAAGTACATGAAAGAAATGATTGTAACTGAGAATTCGATGACTGTGTATTATGCTGCAGAAACAAGATAAACCCCAGCTCCATCACAAAGTATCACTGGTGGCAATACTATGCAATACAATGTAGTATTTTTGTATCCTGAATTCAGATGCTAGCTCTATGGAAGGGCTTTCTCTCCCTGGACTCTGCAGGGAGGTCCTTGTTGTTGAACTTCTACTACTGGGCAGTAAAAATTATACAAAGCAGAATGTCTACCTTATGAAGATGCCATTTTAGGGAGTGTTCTTGCACATCTAAAGAGCTCTGGTGACAGTACACAGTGTGTCGTGCTGCTAAGCAAAAGGTCTACAGTTCATATCTACCACTTGTTTGTCCAGAGAAAACTGGGTGGTCTCCTCCAGTTAGGACTTGCAGGCTGGGAAATCTGAGGGAGGGTCACTAGCAGTCAGAGCGAATCCATGATAGTGGTTTTTGTTTGGTTCCCAAATCTACTTGCCTAAAGATAATTAAACTCCACTAGAACATCAGGATAAGGAGCCCTGGACGAGCAGTTTGCCAAATTAAAGAGAGTGCCTCTATGTGGTCTGAATGCATAAGTTGCTTAATGGGAGAAAGACAGGCAAGCTTCTCTCACGCAATTTATAGCCTCTGAAAACCTGCTGGAAGTTCAGCTATGAGTTGATTCCATGTTGACAACAAAGAAATAGCTTCAAGAAATGGCTTACATAAGTCAGACCAACAATGGTCTGACAATATCAAGAAGAACATCTTAATTCTTAAGATTTTTATTATTACAATGGGCTAGTTTAACTCAAAATATTTTCCCAATATGTTTTCTAAGACTGAATTGTGCATCTACATCAAAATGTTTTGTAACTCCTAACATCTAGTTTGTCTGGCAATGGGTTGTGTAGGGTGTGTTTTATATCCTTTGAGATAGAAAAGAGATTTGACAAGTAGACAGAGAAGCAAAGGTGGGAGGAGAGATGCTACATCACAGAAAGACTGCCCAGGAGTGGAGAATCGCAGACAAGGCCCTCACTCCACAGTCTGTCCAGGAAGATAAAGCCCTTCCAAAGAGCTAGAACAGTGAATTCAGGCTTCTAGACTCCTCAGCTGTGGGAAAAGACATTTTCTTTGAAAAAGTCATCCACTTGGGCTAGTTCTGTTACGTTGTTGTTAAATAGTATGAAGTTGGAACTGATGCACAGATTGCCCTTCCAGTGGGTTTTCAGAGGCATTAATCACATGGGGGAGACTGCCTGCCTGCCCATCTTTCTTCCTCAGAGCAGCAGATAGATGTGAACTGTATTCTTTTGGGTCGGCAGCACAATTCCTTACCACTAAGCTACCAGAGCTCCCTCTTTGTGTTGTAGCAGCATTAGATAACTTAGATATGTGGCCCCTCCATTGTAGCCTCAAACCTCACCTCCCGGTACTCCACTGACAATGAAATAACTAGCTTCCCAAATGTGTCAGCCTCTTTCCTTTGGGCAAACACATATACTACTCTTTCTTCCAGGAGCGCTCTTGCCATGTTCTTCACAGAGCTAACTTCCCCCTCAATTAGGTCTCAAGTTGCAACTCAAGAGGTATTTCCTCCTGGTTAAGCATATCTGACTGGTCAGGTCTAGCTATCTGCTTATCTATCTTCTCTCCTAGACTGCAGGCACCTTGAGGGCCACCTCAGGACTTATACACATCTCAATTCTGGCTCCAAGTCAGTGCCTGGCTACTAGCACACAAGACAGATCTGTCAAGCTATCAGTAGAAAAATGTTAATTTTACCATATAACAACTTATTTTATTTATTTAACAATAAGTTTTTCTTTCTAAAGAAATATAAGAATCATAAAGTTATTGTGGAAGATTTACATTTTCTTTACATTTAAGTTGCTATTAGGTGTTGTTGAGTCTAGTATGACTCATAGCGACCCTATGAACAAAATATCCGAGCCCAGTCCTGTCCTCTGCCATTCTCACACTTCCTGATATACAAGAACCCACTGCAGCAACCACTGTGTCAATCCACCTGTTGAGGGTCTTCCTCTCCTTTGCTGACCATATCCATAACTCTTTTAGGAAAGTGTGTCACTTGTCTTTTATATTTGATAGAAATTTTAAATAAAACTGATCAAAGGAGTATGAAATGTTACTACCACAAAAAAAAAAAAAAA